TGTTGTTAAATAATTAATTTTTTTATTTAAAAGTATATCATTAATATTATATGTACTAATTTATTTAATATTATGTCATATTTATTTAATATCATATTCTAATTATAAATTTATAATTTCATATAATATTCTAATTGTGATATTATCATTATTTAATTATACAAACGTGGCACTCTAAAAAGGACAAAAACTTATTTTTGGCCTTTTACCTTATTAAATTTATAAGTTTTAGTCCCTCATCTTATACTATAATACTTTTAACTCCTTACCTATTAAAATTGAAAAAAATAACCCTTAATAATATTTTATTTGTTCTGTTAATTGACCGTTAACTCTGTTAGCTGAAAGTAAGTTTTTGTCAGTTAATAATTAGCTAATAGAGTTAACAGTCATATAATAGAATAGTTCTATTAACTAACTGTTAACTCTATTAATTGACTGTTAACTCTATTAACTGAAAATAAGTTTTTGTCAGTTAACAATCAACTAATAGAGTTAACAGTCAGCTAATATAGTTAACAATCAGCTAACAGAACTAATAAAATATTATAAGTGAGAGCTATTTTCTTTAATTCTAATAAGTGAAGAGTTAAAAGTATCATAATATAAGTTAAGTGATTAAAAATGTCAAAGTATAAGGTGAGGAGCTAAAACCCATGAATCTAATAATGTGAAGGGTTAAATTATGCTTTTGCCCTCCAAAAAGCTTCAAAAATTGCCAATATTGGTGGGGAGGATGTATGGATAGGCTGTGCGCCCTCCACCTCTAGCTGTTGAGATTCCTGGATGGTTTGGCATTTGGACCATAATAATCATTTTGTTCCTTTAACTTTATTTTTTATCATTCAGTCCATCAACTTTCTAGTTTGTGTGCCTTTTGATTCTTCCAATAAGGTTAACATTGATGTGGTTAGCTGCATGTGATAACAATGTTGTTAAAGAAGTAAAATGATTGTTGAGGGCACATATGTTGAGCCCCTCTCTTCAGCTAAAAAGGCAACTCAACGAGTTCTTAAGCACTTGCTAATGGCTAATGCCTCGTTAGCATGGAAGGACTTGAATGATATATGGCTTTCAAATCCACAAGTAGAATGACTAAAAGGGTAAAAGAATGCAGTTGATGGAACAAAGTTACATTTCCTAAAAAATTATGGACCCCGACGGGAGTTAACCTTTTCATCCCAATGAGAGATGCATCCAATCAAAGAAATTCGTCTGTTGGACAAATTTAATTGCAATGTTAGGTAAAGGGACAAATCAACTAAAACAGTGCACTATTTTATGTTGAATAATATTACCTTTGTGGTAAGCATGTATGGATAGAAATGAAATGCAAAGAGAATAGTAGCCAAAGTTGGATAAGAAGCTGGAGGAGAAAAAATGATATAAAATAACATACTTACATAAACTTTCATTGGGGTAAGGCCTTTTCTCATTTTTTAATTTTAGAAAGGGAAAGGAGAGGTACAAGGGTACTAAAGATGGATAGGTCTCTGCCAGTTCTTTGTTCCTGGGAAGTAATCCAAGGCTATGGCCAAGTTCATTGTAATCTTTGTTGGCAATTAAAACCCAGGAAAGCCAAAGGGAAAAACAAGAACGGGATCCACAATTTATGGATGAGACAAGATGACAGTGCCAGGAAGGATAAATGCAGGGCAAATTGAAAATGAAAGGACATGGTGACATTTCTTCCTTCCTTGCAGTTGTTTCCATGCAGGTTTATCCTCTCAGGGAGAAAATACATGCTTTTTTTTTTCTTGGCCATGAGTAAAACACGTTATGTCACTGATTCTCTGGCTTTTCCTCTTTTATTTACCATTCTTTTTTTCCCTACAGATTCTGCCGTTTTGCTTTGCTATCCATACAATCAATTTGCTTGGAAGATACACAATAGAAACGACAAGTGTCGAGTACTCACCACAGATTTTCATATTGACATTTTATCAAACAATTAATGAGCACCTCACAGGACTGTATAAACACTAACCCCAGATGAGTAAGCCCAGCTCCCTTTAAAGAAGATTCAAAATTCTCCATGGGTTTTTCATTCAATGCAAAAAATTGATACATTCGTTTCAATTAAATCCAATGTACACTGTACAAAAATATGGCCAACATTGTAAAGAAAAAAAATTCCAATTTTCAATCTTTTATCCAGAGTTTGCATTGACAATGATTGACATGTGGGAAGGGATTCCCAATTTCTCATCAGAATTCTGATTAACCCAAATGGTGATATTGTTTCCCAGCGTATTTTAGCCACTCCAACTAAGACGTTGCTCTCCATTAAAGGAAAATAAAAGGGAGTGAGGCCATGGGGATGGACCCAACAGGTCCACCATTGATGACCAAACATTGTACAGTTGGTGTATAATGCCATCCTATCAAGTTACCCAAAAACGATCTTTGACATTTTGCATCTTTGATGGTGCTATATGCGCACGTTAGCAACACACCAGCACTGGCACCCACATTGGATGTTGCTGCTGCCCCATGGTTATCCCCTTTCTACTTGGTCATGAGTTATGACCTAAATTTTTTGAAATATGCCACTAACCACTATTTGATTGCTTAATGACAATGGCACACGACAATATATTTTTTATAATGATTTAAATTAATTTTTACTTTTAACAAACATGACATGTGGTTGATTCATGTGAGTGTTACGAAATTAACAATTATATATTTATAATGTTATGTAAAATTATAAGATTTTAATTATAATATATTTTATTAAATTAAATAAATTTATGTATATAATATCATGAGTGATCTTATGAATTAAAAAATTTAATTATAAAATAATACATGATAATTGTAAATTTATAATAAAATATAATTTTATAACTATATTGTTTTATTAAAAGATTGAATATTAACTACGAAAAGCATCAACCATGGTCAAATGAATCCTTCTAGAGTTGAAAATAAGAGATTAATGTTTGTCTTAATTTTATTAAAACTTCAAGATTAAGTATTATCTTCAAGTTCATCTCTTTTTTGACTTTTTTACCTTTGTCTTTCTTTTCTTTCTATCATCATTGACACAAAAAGAAGGATGTATCATTGGATTTGATTTATTAGGAGTAAAGAAAAGTTAAATTACACATTCAAACTTGTGATTAGTGAAAAAAAGGTAAAAAGGAAAAAGTGGCTAGTTGGTTGCAACAAAAAAGTTACCCTCAATAATATTAAATTATATAAAAAAAATTCTCTTTTATTTTCTATATTTTAATATCAACCAAAGCATTATATGTTCTTTTTTATATGCAATTAAAAGAACACTTGACAATATTAAACTATAGAAGTAAAATTAAATCTCTTTCATTCCCTATATTTCAACCAACAATTACATGTTATTGTCTATATGCAATTAAAAGAACACTTAATTACTCTATAAGATTGGCTTATTTAGTAAAAATTGAATACTCTACCTGTTTGTGTTTATATTTGACTTTCAACATCAGTATTTTTTTTTTTTTTTTTGTAAACAAGCGAAATATAAATATCACTTTGGGTTTTCATTAGAATTTGTGCGACGGCTTGACTTCTTCTTCTTCTCCTTTTTTTTTTTTTTTCCTTACTTTCTTTGGGATACAAGGCTTGACTTTGCATTACAGCGATCTTCCATCCCCTTAAACTTTTATTTATTTAGATTTTTAAAGAGAAGCATATCATTTTTGAAAATTGAGCTTTCACTAGTGTAATTTGAAAAAATCATCTAAATTCACAAAATTAACTAATATTAATATACTAATTCAATGAAAACAGAAAGATAACAATATAGTTCTTTTAAAATAAGGATTGATAAAGACACATACATCTAATTAATGGAAATGAATTCCACGTTACACTTGTTTAAAATGCACATGTTATTCTATAAAATTGACTAGAAAATCATGTGACCATTTTTCTTTTCTAATTTAGAACATTTCTTGTTATTTAAGAAAAAACCCTTCCTCTTCTAAAATTTGGAAAGATCGAAAGAGTCTATGACTCTATGTTCATAACTCATAAATTGTTTAGCTAACTTATAATCGTTTGCACTTAAAGCATCTTGGATTTGTCGCATTTAACCCTAATAGCTTGTCTGATTTGATGGAAAGGGAGTAGAAGAGAGGGAAAATTATTATAATTTGTTAAATTATTTAATTAACTTATTGATTTAATTTAGTTGATGGGAATAAGAATAGTTATTTTCCTCCATGCTTCACTCTCATTCTCTTAAACAAAATAAATTTTAAATATCTACTTAAATTCCTGTTTAAAAAAAATTCAACTATAACTAATAAAATTAGATTAAATATAATTTTTTAAAAGTTGTTACTAATTTTTTATTAAAAATTATTTTCAACTTGCCATTGACTTGAATTTGGTATTATCAACTTAAGATTTTAAAGTAAGATTTTTATTAGGTATTAAACATTTAAAACTTACTAATAAATTAGTAATTTTTAAATATTTTAAATTTATTTTATATTACTAATAATTCAGCTATTAACCGCATTTATCGACGAAGTCAATGGAAATCGTCCACGTCATTCCTAGTCATCTGCATTTGACGAAAATACCCCAAATCTCAAATATTTTGGACATTCCCAACGTTTTACGACGCTTTGACTAGATTACTGGTCTCCAACAGTAAATTCCAATTACGAATACCTACATCTGCACAAACATTTCATGCTACCTCACCAAAAGCTAACACGTGTAACCGTTAGGGCTAAGATCTACCGACCAGTTGTCATCAGCTACGTGGCAGGACACGTCTGTCCCACGTGTATATGCAGAAATCATACTTCACGAAACAGACTCAACAGCATGATGCACAATATCATTGCCTACAAAACTGGATTTCATTTCATTGACTCTTCTCTGCTTGTGAAGTTCTCCCCACCCCCACGCCCCCTCAAGTTTTCTCTCTCTGCAAACCATAGCGGTGTGGAGCCCAAAACTGTACCTCTGCTTTGCTGGCTTCAAGCTCTTCATTGTTGGTGTTTTATGGGTCTTGTCTGCTAAGAATTAGAGAGAGAAAAAGAGAAAGAAGAGAAAGTTTCAAGCTTTGGGAGCTAATCTCAATTTCCTGCTTTCCAAACTTCTTTCATTCCATTCATCTTCATCATCTTCTAACCCCACTAGTTTAGAGCAAGGAAAGCAGTCATCTTGATTTCATTGATCCACAGATCTACCAAGTCAATTGATACCCACATGAAGTTTTTTCTCTTTTTTGTTCCCAGATCCTCTTCTTCTTCAAGTTGTAACACAGAATTAGTCAAACTATAAGGTAATAGCTTTTTTTTTTTTTTTTTATCCCTTTCTGTTTTGGGTTTTTATTTGGGGGTGAGAGATTAATGTTGAATTATGGTTTTTAATGTGTCTATGGGAATGTTTGCAACTGGGGACGGCGGGCAGGTTTACTCCTTTAAGTGTGAAACATTGGACCTTCAGGATGTCCTAATGGCTTGCCAAATGCTTTGTGTCTGAAAAAGGTGGCTTTGACTGTTTCTGTTGCTTTCAAGCTCTTCTTTGGTGATACTGTTTGTGTTGATCTTTTCTCCATAAGGGACTGTTTTGGTCATCCTTTTTCTGTTTAAGAGGATCTGATGGTGGTTTTTGGGTGAAGGTCATAATTCCCTTTGTTCTTTTTTGCAACTAATACCTTAGACAATTTGAAAAAGGTGGCTTCTTTATATCTTTTGTTTGATCTGTTGATTATCATTTCTATGCTTTTTATCTGATTTAGTATTTGTTGTTATTTGTTGTGGTATATTCTTATTCTCTTGGTGAGTAATGGACAAAATAATTGGCTATATTGTTATGGATACGAACAAGACATGGCCAATTTACTAATCTTTTTTTGTGCATTTTGTTGTTAATGTTGTTGTAGTGTATAGTTCTTCAGGAATCAAGGAAGCAACAGTTCACAAATTGGGGTTTCAAGTCAAAATTGTTTTGAATGCTTATTAGATGTTGAGCTCCCGGAGGGTTGTTTGAATGAGATGAGGGATGTTATCTGGGTTGATGAACTTTTTGAGGGCCTGTTTTCGGCCAAGGCCCAACCGATATGTTCACACCAGCTCAGATGCTGTAGGACGCCAGGATGGACTCTTATGGTACAAAGACACAGGCCAACACTTCAATGGTGAATTCTCGATGGCTGTGGTTCAGGCCAACAATTTACTTGAGGACCAGAGCCAGATTGAGTCAGGTTGTTTAAGTTTACACGAATCAGGTCCATATGGTACTTTTGTTGGCGTATACGATGGGCATGGTGGACCAGAGACTTCTCGCTACATCAATGATCACCTCTTTCAACATCTCAAGAGTATGTGTCTCTTGCCTATGCTGGAAGTTAAATGCATTTTTTTTGTAAGTTTCAGGTTGTTGTTAGCCCTTTATTTGGTTGCTGAGGAAGTTTAAAAGATTGTTTGAGGAGGACTTGGTTTCACATATATTTGATTTTGAAAGATTGAAAAAAACTTGCTTCATGCCCCTCTTGTAGCTACTTCAAGGGTATGGTAAACTGAGCCACTAGGTTATAGGTTCATAAATATCTTTTTCTTGTTTGGGTTGTAGGTAAACTCCCTTTAATGACAACTGCCTTTGTTGTTTGTGTGTCCAGATTGTTATTGTTTTGGTTGGAGACAATATACTGTTCTAAAATGTGTATCTATGTTTAGGGTTTACTTCAGAGCAGCAGGGAATGTCAGTTGACGTAATAAGGAAAGCATATCAAGCAACAGAAGAGGGTTTTTCCTCCCTTGTCACTAGACAGTGGCCCATGAAACCACAAATTGCAGCTGTTGGATCATGCTGCTTGGTTGGTGTTATCTGTGGCGGAAACCTTTATGTTGCCAACCTTGGTGATTCTCGTGCTGTTTTGGGAAGAGTTATGAAGGCAACAGGGGAGGTTCTGGCCATTCAGCTCTCAGCTGAGCATAATGCATGTATTGAGTCTGTAAGACAGGAGCTGCAGTCAATGCATCCAGATGACTCACAAATTGTAGTTTTAAAACATAATGTATGGAGAGTAAAGGGTCTCATACAGGTAAGTTATATCTTTAATTGTTAAGTTGCAGCTAGGCTGAGTATGATTCTATGTGATTGCTATTGTACCCTAGTTTGCTTTTCACACCTAATGCTAAGAGAAAAACATTGGGCCAGGGATTTTGGGACTCTTTTTGAAATTGAGATGAAAACTAGTCAATTAATGTACTTGGAGCAGTTAGTGCATCTAGACAGTTTTAATCCCTAGATGCTTTTTACCTTGAGTGGTCTTCTTCTTCTTCTTCCTTTGTTTTTTTTTT